GACACACATAATGGACATACATGTACATACAGATATATGCATATAAAAGTAGTAATATGTAGATGAGAGTAAAAATCTAGGCTAGAATATATTTGGGAACAACACAACATAGCACTTAGCCCATAGCCCATCATAGCTCATACCCCATAGCCCATAGCAAGAAACACGTTTTATTACAAAGGAATCAATATATTAAAAATTAACTAAACAAGCATTAATTAGATCGATTAGTGTTTAAATGTATAACTTGTAAGGCAATAAAATTATTACAAAAGTAATGAAAAAATTTTCTTCACAATTTGTTTTTGTTTTTGTTCTTAAAGCAATATTTATTTGATAACTGAAATATGATAATGACATTGTTCGAACACTATATTCTATACATATACACGAAAACAATAACAATAATAATAATAATAACAATAATAATAATAATAATAATAATAACAATAATATTAGTAATAATAATAATAATTTGCTATTATTATTATAAAGGATTACAATAATTGTTTATTTAATCTTTGTAAAATGTCAAAATTAACTGAAAATGATGAAATTTAAACGAAAATTAATAAAAAAAAAAGAATGGAATAAAAAAGTGAAATATAGTTGCAATATAACAACGTAGCATGAAAACAATTGCCAGCATGTTATTTATCCGTTATTCGTGACGTAAAACAGATTGCATGATCGATCGTTGGTTTGGTGATAATTATTTAAAATACTTATAGAAGTAAGTACTAAATCCGATTATATTCGCTAATGATACTGTGTGAATCAATAAGCATATATAAAACATACAAGTATTATATACACACGTATTTAAATTTTGTGAACTACAGGACACTCAATTGTCATATTTTTGCGCTATAATAATAAATAGTTGAAGTGCGAAATGGAAGAGATTTATTGGCACACACAAATGTTTAAAAAATATTATTTTTTCTCCTAGGCTAAACATAACTTTAATTAAAATTGCTAATTAAAATTGCTTTCAATTATAATGAATTTTCAGGCGCTAACATCGAACATCCTTGCCAGAGTTATGCTACGATCGGAGAGTATCAAGCTGAATTAAAGTAATTAAAAAATCAAATACGCTTAAATTCTTCTGTTCGCTCAATAATTACTTGCCATGTGCGGGTATTTTCTTAGAATATCGCATAACTCGAGAGTTAGCCTTAAAAAGTGAACTCGGCCTAATCGATTTGCCATGTAAATAAAGCATTCATTTGGATTCCGTATGTTCTATTTAGTGTAATGATTTTTTCAAGGCTGAAATGTTTGCTCCAACCAATCTTATCCTATTATTATTATTACTTATTGAATATATTTTGGAAGTACATCTTAATTTGTTACTAATTATATAATTATAATTGAGCATTCTAGTATTCCCTTTCAAAACCATACAATTACTACGAAAACAAATAGAAAATCATTGCAATCTTAAATCTGAAGCTATTGATTTTACCGCCTTTCTGGCGGTAATTTTTAGCGCTTCAAAATTATCTCCGAAAATAGTATGCAAAAGATGAGAGTGGAAGCATTTAAAAAAATAAAACTTATTGATGACATCATGAGACATGAAAATAGAAGAAGCGAGAGACAACGTAGTATGTATGAGAAGAATTAAAAGCAGAAATGTAGAGTGAATTTTGAAAGTGTCGTGGAAATAAGTCAAGAATGTTAGACACTGTTTTTATGGTAATTTAATTTAATATTTCTACTTGCAAGTGTTGTTAATCATCAATTGTGAATTTTACGTTAAATGAGTTTGTTAATATTTAAGAGTTATTTAATATAATATTCTATGCAAATTGAAAGAATTGATTATTTTACGTGAAATTTCCAGTTTAAAAATATTTAAAATATAACGTGTTACATGCTTACTTGTTATTTACGCAAAAAAAAATTGAGTTTTTTGCAAATCAATTATTACAACGAGCACCCAAACGTTATAATTTTGATGATTTGTTTATACATTTATCTCTCATTTCTCTGTTTCGTCTTTTTTAATCTCTCATTCGTTATGTTTATGATTCTCATCAATCTTTGTACTCTCATCAAAAGCAATGATGTTTCTGGATTGGCGAGCAACATTTGACTTACTAGTATAAATGTTAAAATTTACGTATCCATACGGCTTGTTTACTAATGAATCGTAATCAAAGGAGGCTGCGTTAAATTACGGAGCGGAATATTTTCATGGCAATAGGCATATTGTTAATAAACAAAAGTATAAGTAGGGGGAGTTGAATAAGTTTCAAAATTCTTTTTGCTATTTATACATGAACTTTTTGAAGTAAATCATGTGATCTCACGTTCCACGTGAAATGCTTGCGTAATACGTTTAATCTCTATCACTAGACGAGTGTATAATCATTTTGAGATATCTGTTCATATCTTATGAATATTAGCTATTGGGAATTCTTTATGTTAAACAGTAATGATTGATTTGTTCATTCGTTGTATGCGTCCGCTTTTTTTGCAGGTTACATCTAATTTGATTCTAGAAAGATTACATTTATTCTAATAAAATTTAAATGGTTTTTTAATCTGATGATTTGTATATTAAATTGAGTTTAATTTAAATATGATTGAATTATTTATGAAGTGAAGTTACTAACTATGCATAGTATTTGTCTTTCTGGATTTGCGTCTTATAGTGAATTACGTTTCACTATATGTATCACAAACGTCAATTTTATGATTTACAATAGTATTGTTAAGTGGAACGTAATGAAACGTTGTGCATTTAGGAATTGGTATTGACTTATTAATCCAATGAATAGTGGTCAAAAATGTGGACAATTTTCTGATAGCTCGAGTTATGAAAATTTATTTTGTGAACGATGGTATTCTTGTTGCTGTTGGTACATATGGACAGTTGATGATATCAGTTAGCTGATCGTATTACGTGAAAAAAAAAACCAATTTTATTATTTACTTCAATAATTGGTGTAATTACTACAATATTTTGTTTGGTAAACGGTATTCTAATATTTTGAAAAGTAAGCAACAACTACTATATAATACTCAGGGGTTATTTTTAATTGATTGTTCACTAATATATTTGCTTAATTTTCTTGCTTTACTTCGTGGACTTCCTAATCAATTCGATTTTCTTGCTTGTCTGATCTTCATTACCCAGCTATTCAAATTTTTCTTCCTGCATAGAAAATGTCTATGAAAATTTTCACGGGTTTACAAGACTTCTTGGGCATATACGATTCTCCATCGTCACCAACACCAATCGAAGAACAACCGCAAACGCCACTGGTTTCTGCAGAGTTGCCACCCTTAATAGTAACGAATACAGCTACATCACCATGTTCTCTGCCTTCTTCTACACTATTGACTGATTCAAATTCTACTGAAAGTACTAACATAACGGTAGAAAATTCTGCTGAAGTTAATGTTTTTGAAGAGGAGCAGAGTTCATGCGAGCAAAAACAGTCTGACTTTGACATAGCAGAGGATAGTCTTGAAGGTTGGTATAATATTTGATCAATTTTTGTTACATAATCAAATAGCGACTACATATATATGTACTGTTTGAAAATAATCTTGTTACTAATTCCAAACATTAAGTAACATCGTGATACTCGATTTTCATAGAACACCAAACAGCTTTTGAAGTTTTTTATCAATCACTTTAAAAATTGCTTATGAATCGTAACTTGATTTTAGAGCCGCGATAACTCAATTAAATTTAAAACTAAATCGAATTTAGATGATGCAGATGCAGTAGAAAAGATTCGACACTGTTCTCATAATCGAAGTGTGCATTTTCCAGATATCATTGTGACTGATTTTTATGAAGCACCAAAAAATGTTTTCATAGAAAAAAGTAAATAAGTTAATGTTTATGCTTGAAAAATCAATGTTAATAAATAATTTCATTGCTTTTATTAGTTTTTGTAGATAGTCACTTTGAGTCTGCTAAGCAAATATTTTTAATCTGAGTCAAACCAAGTAGTGATTCTGAAAAGAAAATTAGAAGACTTCTAAGTACTGTTTGCTCTTTCAAATAAATTAAGCAGTGGGATATACCTTCTTTATGAATTTTCCATAACATCGTGTGATATGATTACTCTGTTTTCAGAAAATAACGATGTTTCCGCTATCGGTATTGGTTACTTAAATGCTTGCAAGCGATTAATGGTTGAACCAATTCAAGCTGTTCAGCAACAAATATCCGTACCTTTCATCTTATTCGAATTATTTTGAATTGAAAAAATCATATTAACTTAATGGATTTAGTAGGGTTGCACCCATGAATTTTATTATGTGAAGCATGGCAAAAATCTCCAAAATTATTTTTTCATGTAGTTTCATTTCATTTTCTATTAATATGTGTTAAAATGTCTTCGAGTTTATGATACAAGACAAAAAATCATTGATCACTGTTGAGATTCATGTCATTATTAAATCAGATAAGTTTATCGAGAGTGAAATAGATTAGATGAAGTAATTTGAGTTGACTTTGTATGTTCGTGTTCATGCACCATTTGATTATCATTTTTTCTAACTTCATCAGTATATTTCTTAATATTTGCATTCTCAATAATTCTGAATTTACGTTCGGTATCAAAAACACCAATGTGGTGATTAATTAAAGCTAGTCTAATCTGTAATAATTCATTGTTTTAGTTTTCAAAAAAAATTATTTCAGTGCTTCCATCACGTATTAGGTGTACGCCAAGAGTGTCTTTCATTAAAAGGTTCTTTTTAATGTCAATTTTGTATGTAAAGAATAGAGTCAGATGGTATTTATTTCTTGCTGGAAACATGGGTAGTATAAATGTGATCTAGCGAAAATTGGTCAGTTTGATGTAATCTTGATGGAAAATGGTTTTAGGTCATCGTTTGTCACCCAGTGATTTGGAATGCTTGGAAGAAATCTTCAGTAAAGTCCAGTTCGATATGCTTGATTTCGAATACACTTTTTTGAATGATGATGTAAGTTTACGAATTTATGTTGTCAAAATTTATACCTGGTTTATCTTCAGCATTTGATATTTTTCCTAGAGTTCTAATTTAAAATATCAGGACTCATTCGCTTTTCATATTTATAAAGTTTTGATGATTTAGCTTTATGACTTTCCTAGTGTTCTAATTTTCTATCATAATGAAAGGAACTAAATTTTTATGTAAATGTGACATTGTAAAAAGTTTCGTGTAATGTATTTCTTATATTCAATGGTCACAAATGAGTTTGTTATATCAAATTGTTTTAGAGTGCTGTGTGCCTGGGAGAAATGCTTGAATTTTATGACTCAGCGCTGAAACTCAATCTGTCCTTTAATAATCATATCAATTTGCGTGGATGGCAAGCTATTTGTAAAGCAATAAAAGATGTATATTTCCATTCTCCTTACTTGTTTTGTTCGGTAATAGAATCGAAGATGAAGTCAAAAATTTGTACTTCTGTTTTCCATTCTTTCAGCTTTATATTCATGTAAACGAGAATAAATTGCTTTAATTTACATAATTTTTAGGCACCTTCTATACAGTACTTGGATTTACGCTATACATCTTTATCCGATCGCTCTTTTCCAGTACTGTCTCGTGCTTTACGTTCGCAGTCATCATTAACCGTCCTACATCTCGAAAATGTTTCTCTTGCCGGAAAGAACTTAATTTTAATTGGTCTGCTTTCTTTGTTATGATATATCATTCAGTAAGTAAATATAAGTCAGCATGGCTTCCGTATTTTTTTCCATTTCAAGAAAATTTGCAAATTTGAATAAACAGAACAGAAATTTACCTTTCAGATGCATGTGGTATGACAAAAAATAAAATTTAAACATGATTACACACATTTGTTTGATGAAAATTTGTCTTAATAGCTAAAGTATTTATTGCATGTGCGCGAAATTATCATCTCAAAAATGATTATTGGTCACGTGCTATTCCTAGTTTCCCTGTTAAAAACGAATGTTTTTTCTTTTGCGTTGTTTACACTGACCAGTTTTCAGGATGCGCACTGAAGGAAAATACAACGCTGCGAGAACTTTATTTAGGTGAAAATAATCTTCAGCCAGCAGATGGTGCTCATATATACCAACTTATCATCACAAGTGTTTCCCTTCAACTGCTTGATTTGCGGAATAATCAGTTGCAAGTTCGTTATATTAAAATTATTTCCGCATTAATTAGGAAGCTTTTTTCTCATCTAATAATTTATTTGTGCAAAAAAAAGCTCAAGCTAAAAGAGAATACATTTGAGAAAAGTGCTACAAATAAAATTATGTCATCAGCTCTACACATTATATTCCTTCAATAGAAGTAAATTGATGAGTGGTATATTAAACTGTATTCAAGGATGGTGGTTTGCGTCACATTTGTGATGCACTCAAGCATCGCAGTACAATAGAAAGTAGCTCATTGTCAGCACTGGTGCTATGGAATAACAAAATAACACATAATGGTATGGAATTAATGGCGCACGCATTGGTTGGTTCAGTATCTTTGTTCTTTCTTCAGAATTCAAAGTAAGACTACTTTCTTTTCTTTTCCAAGTACATGAGTGTATTGCACTGTATTGCACTCATGTATCTTAGTAAATCAAAATTTACTATTATTAATGATTAAATCAATAATTTATTGACAGCTTATTTTTGCAGTTATCAATTTATAGAATGAGAATAATAAGTTGGAAACACTGAATATTGGCAGTAACAAGCTGTCATTAGAAGGCATTGCGGCACTAAAACCAGCATTACAACGAAACTGCACACTACAAAGACTTGGCTTACAAGCAACAAATCTTAACTGTCAATGTATGCGTATAGTTTAAAATTATTGAGCAGTACTTATAAATCTACGTCATAATGCTTCTATTTTTTTCTCTTCTATTCTGGCTGATTTTATTTTATCTTTTTATTATTTTGCATAGTGGTATATTATAGTCGAAAGATCTAATTATGAAGATTTTTTTCGTTTTTGATAATTGATAAAGGCGTCCGGTTTCAATTTCTTTTTCTCTTGTTTTGAGAGTTAGTAGATTGAAATTGGAAAATATTTCTGACTCTAAGATAAAATTCTTTTAAAAGAGAAAATTTTGTAAATAGCGTAATTAATTGAAATAAAGTTTATCGTCTAATTAAGTTGAAATTCTGCCATGGAAGAAGATATCAATTTAATCTGAAGAAAACAATGTGACATATTGGAAGAAATATATCATATCCAAATACTTTATTACCTATCATCTAAATGATCCCGATGTTCAAGGGTATCATCATTAACTGCTATTTTTAAGGTGCTATTGTGTTAGCTGAATGCTTGGCGGATAATAAAGTGATGGTGAGGTTAGATTTACGAGATAATCCACAGATTGGATCAGCTGGTTTGTTGGCACTTCATTTGGCAATGAAAATGAATACGTCAATGACACTTTTAAATTTGGACACGACTGCTGCTCGTTCTAGTAGTTCAAAGGTTTTATTTTTATTTTTTATCCTGGTATTTTGTGCATTGTATTATGGATGTTATCTCCATTGAGCATGAGTAGGTATACAGTTAATGCTTATGTTGTAATGTGTAACATAAAATCCATAGAAAGTTTTAGACGATTCTAGCTTTCTTCAGTTTTTTACTTTTTTATTTTCGATTTCTTAAAGAGAATTTTTTCACTGTTTTTGTACTTAAATGAGATGTCATTCAAGATTTAAGGCATCCGTTTCCATTCCTTTTTGAAAGATTCTGGTAACTTTCTTAGACTATTATAATTATATATTTTACTGTAATTAAGCTCATAAACTTGAATTTCAGTAAAATAAAGTTTTGTAGCATAGTACAAATACTATAAAACGATAATTTAATCAGCTTTTTCTTTCACTTTCAGTGGTTTTGCTTCTGCTACATTTTGGATTAAAATTTAAATTTTCATCTTCTAGATTCAGGAGTACCAAGAGCAATTCATGGTCTATTATGACGAGATTAAGATGTTCTGTGAACGAAATAAGGAAATCGCTCTTAAGAAGTTGTCGGCCAATGCAAATGTCTTAGAAGATAATACTGTTTCTGAAAAGCCTAATGTAGAAGGTTTTAATAACGAATATGAAGGTGAATCAGTAAAGGAAGACAGCACAAGGAAGGAGGATTGGGACGGTAAACCTGAGGTCTTTGAGCAAAATTCAATCAGTGCAAAAAATAATGCGGTTTGGCTACTAAATCGATCGTCGTCTTTAACATGTGCTGAAACTATTGATGATATTCCGGTAAACTTCTAATTAGTGTGTTTTTTATTCATTTCCGTTTATAAAAGCTGAGTTTTGGCTCTCAAACATGTCGTATAAGGTTTTATTTTGAGCAGTATTTGGTATTTGCAAGAAGTTGTTTGAAATTTTATATTTTTTCAGTTTAAACTGAAAAAAGCAGTGAAGGCTAAAATAGTATTGTTGAATAAGATTTTGAAAATATGCATTTATTCATGTTGATATTGGTGATTAGATCTAATTTTTTTCAAAATACACAACTCAGAACTGACTTTAATCCAAAAATATTTATATGACTGAAATAGGAATGAAATGCAAATAGGATGAAATAAAAGAACACTATCGTCGTTATTCATTCTTGTTAATCAACCGATTCAGGAACGAGTAGCGCAAATGAGTCATTCGCTTTCTTTGATTGAAGAAGTACCAGAAAGCGTGACTACAATCAAAAGGAATTCTGATGGAAGCCATCATCCAGTGCTGTTCGTTAAACGTAAGTTTGGCTTTATACGTCTTATTGTACTTCAAATTTTTAGAAAATCTTTTTGATTGATTAACTTATTAAAGTAAATTGTTTTTTAATTCATAAAAATTTTTACATGCAGATGAGTTGTCAAAGTGTCCATCGTTGCCTTTAATATCGGTCTCAAATCACCAGGAGGGAGTAACAAGTTCAACAGGGAGTAAAATATCAAAACGTTTTACTGTTTCCACTTCAAGTTTGAATGCCACTAATCCACGGGATGTTAGTCGTGTCAAATCACGTTTCAAGGTAATCAGTTGAGATAAATTGAAAAAAAATTATTTTTTCCACATATGTTTGTTTTGTTTTACTGATAAGTGAACGAATTTTTCGTATAGTTTCTTTGTTTAAACCTTGTGCTCATAACAGTGTTATAGGTGGAAAGAATCAGTACAGCTATTCAAAAAGCAACGAAAGCGAAATCAGATGAATGTATACCTTCGCAGTTATCACTTAATGAAAGCTCTGCAGATAAGAGACAAGAGTCAGAGTTCTTGATTGGAGATAGCGCAATTAAAAAGAAAGTTGAAGATTTGGTGGCAAAAGAGTCCAATAAAAAGCATGGATCGTCAACTATAATAGGGCAAGATTCAAGAAATCATGAAGCTGGAAGTGATGCAGTTTCTGGTACAAATTCTGGTGAATTGCTAACAAATGAAAGGATCGGACTCGCCGATGTTTCCCTGAATTGTGAAGTTGAAACACGGAATTCAGAAAATCAGTCTTTTGCAGACACAGAAGTTGAAGGAAAAGAAATATGTTGTGATATAAGGATAGAAAATAAGTCATCAGAGCAAGTGATGGTTGTTAAGGATTACTTTAATGTTGGACAAAATGATTCATTTTGTGGTAATATCCATTCCTCTTCGGCAGTTACCGTACAGCGGGAACTAAGGCCTAGTGAATGTCATAAAGCAGTTGCCAAAGCTAAAGTTTCAGAGCGTTTCGAATTAGATCTTGGTATTAAAAAATTGCCAGTTAGTAGTGAGAAATGCTTGATAAGATTGGAGCAAGAAGCAAACAATTCTGAAAGTTCAGCCGTAATAAAGCCAGTCATCCTTCTTGATACGATACTAGAAAATCAGAAAAGTGAAACTGAGGTTGTGGTGCGCGAAGTGCTTAGAGATATAGTCAACTACGTTGTGTATGAGGTGATTTATGCCACTTATTTTAATAATTTTTTCTACTTGAGGTTTCATATTATTAGCTGTAGTTTATTTTAAATATTATTGCTCAGAAAAAGTTACGTAGCATCGTCTTCTTACTTAAGTTTTTGTGGAATTCCTTGATTTTCACATTTTTTCAGATGGGTGGTGATGGCTTAAGTGATTTTCAAAACGTTTCATATGTCAGTACTATCGTCTCATCTCCTTTATGTTCGCCTTTTACTTCGAGGTACATTGTCAATAAATACAAGTTGCAGTAGTTAAGTCTTAAATCTAACACTTCAGTTTTTACGTATTCTCAAATTTTCATCTATCATAAGTAATTCTAAATTTTTTTATTCATTTTTTATCCAAACTTGAGTGGATAAAAAGAAATAAGTTAGTATTTATTGAGAGAATGTCATTTATTCGGTTTTTGATTTCTTTATAAATATTCTATAATTCCTTTTTCTGACACTATATTTGTTGTAAAGAATTTTAGGAGCTTGGTTAGTACATCGAGAAATTTCACCCATGATCAAGAATCAGATGAAGATGTGATACGGGGCATTACTCGTAGTCTAGTTCGTGAAGTGTTACTCCATGAAAAAAAAACGCTTAGACTAAATTTGGAAAAAAAAAGAGCATCTCTCTTTGTGACCCCAACCGTAAACGTATCGAATAGTTAATTACGATTCAATTATCAAGCAAGTTTCACTCGTAAATACGACAACAAGAAAGTGATTTTTTCTTTTTTTCTTTTGGCTATATCAGTTTATCATGCATTTCTGAGAAAGTATCAAATATGCTTGAAAACATTTTTGCTTGTATCGATGGAATTTTAAAATGTTCTAACAGCGCACTAAAATATATTTCTTCACTTTTTTAATAGATAGTAGAAGCATTATTTTTTAGTCTTTTTAAATTTTCAAACCAGACTTTCAAACCGTGCTGAGAATACTTTCCGTTTGCACGAGTAGAAGCATGTAAGCTGTACATGTACATAATACTTTGTAATATTTAGTCATTTCTGCTTCTGACTTTAAGAATCGTCGGCATGGAGTGCTGTGAATATGTAAATATTGTCGAGCAACGGGAATATCAAGAGAAAATTAGAGACGTAGCGTTTATCGCATAGGAATAAGAAATTGACTTATATGCTTGTCCTTTTCTTCATTTATTTAATTAAACCTTTATTTTTAAAATTTTCTAATTTATTGTTTTCACTTTAATTTGCGGTGATTTTTATCGGTGTTTTTGAGTCTCATCGCAACGTTTGAATTAATTACGTACGTTTTCCTAATTTTCGTTTTACTTCTAAACAGTAGCTGCATGACCTCATATCAGTCATTGTTTATGTTTTATCAGTGTAATAAGTATAGACCATAAAAATTTCTTTATACATAAAAACAAATTTCAAATCTCGTGTACATTGATCTTCACATTACTGTCATCCGCACTTTTCTTTTCAAGTTCAAAATATTATATCAGAAGTATCATGATGATTTTCAAAATATTGATTCGAAAAACATCTTCGAATTGAAAAATATCTCTGATTTTTCAAAATTATGTTCTGAAATTATTGGGTTAAAGAAATCATACAGTATCATTTAGAGAAAGGTCTCTTCATCTGCCTTTCATGCTTGATTATTCTGAAATAATACCAAAATTACTTTGCTTTTCGATATTATCTTGTAAACTTTTCGTTCGACAAAATTCATAGGGTTGAGATTTGCTATTAATAGCAAATCTCACCCTATGAATTTGTTGAATTTTGTTTTCTAAAAGTCTATTATTTCTACTTTATTTTTGAGATACTGTATATTGCTTAAATATTAGAGTTGTGTATTAAAAATGCGGTGCCTGTTTAACATCATTATTTTATTCTCTCTAATATCATAACTGAAACTTTTGGATAGACTTTCAAGGGCATGTTAATTATGTAACAGAAATTTAGTGACGAAGTGGTTTAATAAGCATAGAATATGTGGTAGCTTTATTAACAAATATGTATAGATAGTCAGATACAATTTTTGATTTCAGTTCGTAAACGTGTTTATTTTAATTAGCTCATGAGATAATTAGATTAAACTGGGATTACAAAGCATGTCATTTAGCTAGGTTCTTAGTAGATTAGAGCTCATTACATCTTAGTGAATTTTAGCTCAATTTACATCCATATTATGGCTGATATAAAATAGTGGAATAGGGACAATACTTACCAAGGTTGTGTGTTTGTTTAGCTCTTGTTTCGCTATAATAATGCTTTACATTTTAATATTATTTTATGTGGAATATAGAGTTTAGCACTGCGTAGTTTCTCCCTGCCTTTCGTTTATTAATAAAAATTTTGAATGAAGTTAGGATTTAATTTTATAATGAATAGTATTGATATAGAGAGGAATTGTTAAAATATTTAGTAAGGATAAGGATAGTTGGTAAGAAATTCGCTGTGTAGTTTATTATTAATAAACTCTTAATTTTTGATGAGTGTTAAGGGAATCAAAAGTATTAGTGCATTGTAGTTTTTTCGACCTAATTTTTTATCATTTGAAATAGATGAAAAAGTATTAAATCTGGTTCTTTTTATTGATAAATTTCAGAATTAAGAAGTATAATAGGTGAAATAAAGGATATTGAATCTATTTCTTGCTATGAATTGTAATCAAGCTTAAATCAGTGTTGCAAATGTTTCGTTGTGGATTTCATCTCTTTTCTTGTCTTCCATTTATATAGTTTGCTCCAAAAAGTCGTAGTACTTGCATGAATTGAGAATAATGGAATTATTACTGTTATTTAATTTATATTATTTTACATGGTTCTGAAATAAGTACGAGTTTGTTACATGATAATGAGTATATACAAATGGAAGTTTAACTTGCCAGTTTCTTATTTTTCATTTTGATATAATTCCGTGTCTTTTTTTCTGGTGTTTGTGCGTTTCATTACCCTTATATGTATATATTCATTCTTAATACTTTTTTATCAAAAAATTTATAATATTTCAGAATTTTCCTCATTTTTTGCAGTTTAGCGTTCTTGTAATGTGAAAATATGAAAAAGAATAGAACTCGTAGTTATTGATGTCTTTTTTTTGATAATTGTGGTAACAAATATGTTTGTGGTTTCTAGCTTTACTCAGATTTTGATGAGCGAAATTCGTTATTTGGTTATTTCACTTAAAATAAGAGTACATTGTACTAAAAAATACTGAAATTACTTGTAGGAAAAGTTGAGCCTAATTTAAGTATTTTTAATTTTTGTGATAGTGAGTAAAGTATTTAAAACATTGACTGTAGTAAGAGAGTACTTTACTAATTTGTTATATAGTAAGTTGAAAGTTTAGTTATTAATAGCTAGTAAAAGAGTTTTTTTTAAGTCTAAATTTAGTATTTGATGAGTTCTGATAAATAAAAGAAACAGTAAGGAAGTGCTTTCTTACAGTTCAGGAATGATACTATTTTATTGAAGTGGTATTGTCTTCTAACACAAATTTATTTGCTTACTTTTTCTGTGTTGTACATTATATATACATAACTTACACAATATATATTTTGACTACAATTAAGTGACAGTACACTGGCATGTCTTTTTCTTGAATATGCAGTGTTTGTTTTTAACGAAAAATAAATATTTCTCAGCTCAATCTGTCATTGTGCAAGTAAACTTTGAAGGATTGAAACGGTAAGTGAAAGAATCTTAAGATAGTTTACCAACCGGAAATCCTTGTATACAAGTCAACAAAGAATGAGCGGAGATAGGTAGTTTGGTGTATTATTTTGGAGGAACTTTATCAAATTTTTGAATTGTGGGCAATTTGGCTGGGAATTTTGAAGGAATAGTCAAACATATGGATATTGAGATGTTGAAGTTAGTTCAGGCTAAAATAAATATGAATCCTTTCCTTACTCCAAGATTTGGAAGTAAGAGGAGAGTGGTCGTTTCTGTTTGTTACGTGGAGATTCTGTGGTTAACAGTGGTAAGTTCCAGTTAGTAGTAGATTTCATGCTAATATTGTGAACATAAATTGTACTGAATTATTTATTTGAAGATGCCAAAAGTTTGATTAATTATTTCATAAATTGTGTTTCATACTATTTTTGACAAAATTGTTAAGGTAATTATTTTTAAAAGTACCTCTAAATTATTAATAACTTTAGTATCATTGAGTGTAAGATATAAATTGTATAGGTTTTGTATTTTATCAGAAATTAATAAGTAATAAAGTTTTTTCTAAAACAGAAAATGTGTATTTTTCAGTAACTAATGTGTGCTAAACTCTTGAAAGCATTTACTTTTCGCTATGCAACGTTATTTTCAAGACAAGTTAAAATTTTCTCGCAAACAAACTGATACGTAAGTAAACATTACCTATCCACGAAGAATAATTTGTCTACTTTACTCTCTCATCTTCAGTATTAACGTTTGCATATTTTACTTTGGGACATGTACACAGAAATTAAATTTGCAGTTAAGATTTCATTTCATTAAAATTTCATTTCTGTTCAAAGTTGAGGTCTACTTTTTTACTTTTAGTACTTTTATTACTTTTAGCAATTTTTATTAACATTTTCTCATTTCTTAAAAATCTTTAATGAATAAATTTTTGTACAACGACGATTTACAGTAATGTGTATGGAAGTAATTCAGTAATATGCTTATCCATACAGTGACACTTTTTTTATCCACAATTTTTCTACCTTTTTGTTGGCTGCACTTTACGGTTGAAACGTTTCCGGATTCATTGGTTGATCCACATAAATGTGGTCTTAGCTCTGCTGGATTTGTTTGTGATCCAGATCACATCCTTAAACCTTTTAGTAACACGCTTTCTGGTTAGTTGTTACCTTTATGTAAATTAATATTCGATTTAAAAATTAAATAATGTGTGGTAGATCGGTTTTTCTGAACTAAATAAAAATTTGAGAATAAAAAAATTCTAAATGAAAAACACAATTTCAAAACTTTATAGTTCTCCAAAATCAAAATATTTGAGATATTTTCCAGTTTCTACCACAGTAATATTTGTTGTAAATACGGTTAACGTAACTACATAAGGTTATTGTAATTAACTTGTATTGATTTGGTTTATTTTTTTAGGTGCAGAATATTTATCTCAGTATTTGCAACAAATTCGCTACATAACCAACTGCTCATGCATAGAGGAAGACATTGCATACGGTAGTTGTCCTGTGATAGATGCACATGGATATACACTATCAATTGTTATTATGGCATCAATTGATTTGAATACGACTACAACGTAGGTGCTCATAATGTACGTTTTTTTGAAATGAGTAAAAGCATATGAAATGTTAAATTTATGTTTGCATTATATTAAAATAACTAAAATATTTATTATTTTATAATCTGATTTTTTTTTTTTGTACGAAAGTAGCGATAATTTATTATTATGAAAAAGTCAAATACTCCAGCAATTATTAATTGCATTTTAGGATACTAATTAATTAAGTCATTTATAAAAAAGTCTTTTTAAAAAACGTTTTTATTTTTAGATGTTATAAAGCACTAAATTTTTCATCTATTAAATGATGAATTCAGTTATTTTATGTAGAATTTCTTTTAACACAGTTCCAAATGCAGAGTTATTAATTTTTAATTTTAAATATTCGAAGTCTACTTTTTAGAATTTTAGTGAAGGAATGTAATTTAAATGCAAGAAACTTTGAGCAATGCGCTGGTAACATTTTTAGCAATAAAGAAGACGTCAATCACGCTGTTGAAAAACTTGCGCAAGCTTTACGTCGACGTTATAATCGCGGTCAGTGTGCCGATGATGCGTTAATCGTGGTACTTACAGATTGGGAAGTGGTTAGACTTTAAATATCAACGTTTAAGTTTTCAAATTGAAAAAACAATTTCAAATGGCTAGACTACGAAAAAGTAGAAAAAACATATTTTCAATTCATTGATATGTGTATGTAAGACATTTTAGGTCCACACAGCTGTGGGAGAAGTAATGAACAAAGTTCTTCCACCGTATGACATTGCAGCGACCTATGAAGAAGCTGGTACTTCAAAGATTGCATTTTTACAAATTATTGTAAAAGCAAATAAGTAAACTTGCATAACCTAAGCATCACATAAATTACGGAAATATTTTAACTTGTAATACATTATTTTGTTTTAATTTTTATTTAAGTAAATTTACTTTTGTATTTAAACTAAGTTGTATATCAGCAAAACAACACGAAAAATAAAGGTCCGTCAGATATATATTTAATTCGAAAATCACAAATTATATTTAAAACTTAAGACATAACTTTGAAAAGTTACAAATATAAATCTGGAACTGATAATTTTGATTAATGAATTCTATCATTTAATCAAAGCTTTCAGAACCTTTATTTGCTGAAAAGAATTATTTGTATGGACTGACTTTTTTGGTAAATCGCTACGCACAACTTTTACAATTTTCCCATCGAGAATCTAAGAAAATTTATTGGTGGATGGAGTTGAGGTCTCGTATTGCAAGAAGTAGTTGGCTTACTGTTTTGCTTGGTCTTCTTGTTATAGTAAATTTTCTTATTCTATTTATTTTACTAATCATACGGTGTGCCTGTCGAGAAAAACAAACCTATACATTAGGTCGAAGGCAAACAGCTTCTTGAAAGTAAATTGGTTAGTTTATTTATTTCAAGGAACTATCCAAATGTTTCTTTAATTACTAATTTGTACCTAAGTTTGTTTATTTTAACGAATTAACTGATTTGAATACTTGATTAGTTTATTAATAATAGCTGTTGTAATGAATTTTTTCACCTTCATACTCTATCTCTGTAAATACAAATAAATGTAACATAAATATGTATTTGAATTTTAATAATCAATTTAATAATTCTTAGTAAGTAAATTACTGCGATTTATCAAATACGTAATGAGTTATATCAAAGTAACATCCAATAATATCGATATAACTGACTAGAATAAAGATTGCAGGATAGGTCTCAAATCTCACAAAGTAATAAATATACAGATTTCTCGATTTCATAGTTTAGTTAAAATTTGGCTTGATTATATATGTACTATTATTGTCAATAAGATTTAATTTGCATCAGTAATTTATCAAAATTGAAATTCAGAAAAGAAAAATTTAGAACTAAAATTGAGCAATTCTTATTTTATTATTCTTAATTTTACAAAAATAAAGAATTGATTCAAAAAAATTTGTGATGACAATCTATATGAGATTTATTCTGCTTTGATAATTTATAACGATTTTAAAGTAAATGCAAAATTTACAGCGATGTTTTTTGCTTTTGTGTTTCGCATTAAAAATATTACTCTTTATCTGACATAATTTTTGCTTTAATTATTGGCAACAGTAAATTGTTTTGAAAGGATTTAAGTGACTGGTATACATCCTTCTGATCCAGCATTCACCGTTTCATCGTTTATGCAAATGAGCGGCTTGCTTATTTATTTCAATAAATGGCTATTACTATGCTAATTTTTGCATACTGAATAATTTGAGAAAACAATAACAAATACTTGAAAATCGCTGAAAACTGAAGAATTAAGTGCAAAATTAAATAATAATAATGATAATAATAATAATAATAATAATATTGGCAAGATTTTTTTTGTAAATATGTAAATATAAGAGTATATAATGGCAGATAAGAGTAGCGAGAAAGACAATGAAAATTTGAAATTTTCAAACTTAAACTACATTTGATGATTTGAACAAAACTTGCTGGAAAAGCTTTTTCTTAACAAAACAATTCATGCATACTGTATAGAACTAAAGAAATAGTTACAACATACGGCAGTGAAATAACTGCAAAAAATATCTGTCGAAATTATTAAAATTATTTTAAAAAAGGCAATTTAATAAATGTTGTAAATTGCCATTCAAAGAACAAGTTAAAAAATATTATTTAATGGTACTTCTAATTTTACAGTGAAAGAAGTCATTGAAATACGGAAATGTTACTTGTTATTACGGAAATGTCACTTGTCTTTTCGACGTAGTTATCGTCGAAATGTAACCATTTCCGAATACTGCGTCGAAAGTACTTGTTGCCAACAGAATTTAATAACGTTAAAAAATTTTCATATTTTTCATTATCCTAATTAATATTTTAGAATTTCTTAAAGTATTAATTAGAATATTATGTGTAAACGCAAAAAGGCTCAATTATTATGTGGCAGATAAATCAACAAATACTACTTTATATTATTTCCAAAAATAATACAAAGTTTAAAATGCAAATAAAAAAACAGCAAAAAAATTGAAACCCAAAGATTTGTATTCAACAAAAAATGAAGACTAATCTGAATTCACGTCAGTTACTGCAATCACTACTTCCCGAACTCGAAGGTGCAGCTAAACCGGTATGTACTGTAACCAAAGAATCACAATTCACACTAAATGCTGGATAATATAATCCGCGGGGCATATTTCTGTAATTATACTTCTGTAACTACTTAAAGATGTATCATCTGATTGCTGATCTGTCACAACAAGTAATTAAACATAATCATATCAACTATTTTTTTTAAAGTTGCCACAATTATAATAATAATGACTACAACTATCAATTTGGTAAATATTATGATTATAGTAAGCTATTACAGTAACAATTAATTTTACTAGATTGAATTCATAAACATTACCAGAACTTCTCCATCATTGTCACTATGATTTTTGATCATTACTGCTACTGTTCAATTCCTTTATCAAAATGAAAGAATTGAATATCATACCTGAATGCAAGGAATTGTCCTTCAAAATTACGTCGATTATCATTGACGTAAAATGCAAGAGTACCATGGTCACAGTCAAGTAGTACGCCAATCACAGATCCAGCACAAATGCCACCAGTGATACGACTATGATGCATTTCGTTGTGAAGGTACCATGATCTCTCCCCATCAATATACATAGACCAACCATGCAAATCTTTACCTGAAATGATTACAGGTAATCTAAGATCAATCAGCACTTTTGATTATTGTCACTATATTCAAATTTCTATTCACAGTATTTCTAACTTCAATTCAGTACTTTATCTTATAAAAAATTACTTCAATTTGCAAAATTAAATTTCAGTTCAAATAAATTTTTTTATATAAAAATAGTAAATGCAAGTAATAATTTAATCTCTGACTGACAGTAATACTTCAAATTCCAATAAATATTTGCAAACTTAACCAAGCATAATATGACGATTGAAAGCACTCTGAGCTACGCCAACGACAATATCAGCATTTCCAACGTGTCGTTCAATTGTTACTTCCCAGTAATGTATGCCCCGCGAGAAAGCGATAGAACCACATAAAGTACGGTATTCTACAGTGGTTGCTGTAACTGACATGCATTCATTTGACAAATTTAAGTCAGTTTGTGAAGCTGACTTGCTCAGCTGAAACCACGCCACTGAAAAATTAATTATAATTAACAAAATTACAAATAAGATGTAAAAAATTTGTGGTGAAGAAAATGTAAACGAAGTACGTTTCAGCAAAATAATTGAATGCAAGAATTAAAATAAATTGAGAGTTTGGTAACAGCTAAATTATACAGCGAACTTGAAAAAGTCTTACTGTAGTTTTTAAAAAATATTTTCAAATTATAACTATAACTGCTTTTTTTGATAATCAAACTTGTCAAAAAATTAAATAAAGTTACTGCAATTGTCAGTTTACAGTAATAATAATTTTAACTGACAGAATAATATAATTTTAGTTGTTGCAATTAACTGAATGAAAATTTTGTTACGAGTTAGACTGAGCAAAACTTTAGTTGCAGCGCTAAATTTGAAATTAAATATTAATGAAAAAAGCAAACCTGTGGCAGTTTGAAGGCAAATAATATCACTGTAATCACTTTCACCAGCAGCATTGAATGCTTTAACTCGAGCGTTGTATACTGTATTAAAATGTAACCCATCGATTGTACATATTGTATCTACACCACAGTATACTTCCTGTAAATTAATAATATGATTATCCATCTGCTTATTATCTGTCAGTAATATGATTATCCATCAGTAAAGCCAAATTACAAAAAATTTTTCTTAATAAAGAACAGTAATCAATAATGCAGGGTTTTTGTAGCACAGACGATGTAACAATAAATGATTCAAAATAAATATTACAAAAAACTGAATGAACAAAATTTTGCCTGTTATAAATAAATGTATTTTTATTTTGTATAATTTATGATAACCTTAAATAACCCTTCATCGGTACCAGAATCAATTTCGAGCACAAAACCATCTACAGCACAACCGTCATCTTTTGCTTTCCAAACTATTGTCACCGAATTATTTTCAGCTGTACATTCTGCGGTTTTAATGATAGGCGCATTTGGCACTAAATTAATGAAATTCAATTTTTGAAACCAAAAACATACTTTTTAAGAAACAAAAAGTATTTTACAACATTTAACGGACAAAATAATAAGCAAAATAATTACACA